AGCTATAGACTTATAGATTCGCAGCTACACAGAGCTACAGGCACATAAGTCAACAGCTACAGGCAAGGCTATACATAGAGTTCCCAGGCAGACGCAGGGATGGTGGGACATAGATACATACTACTGGGGACCATATACATATAACGTCTGTGTATATATGCAGGTATAGATAATTTTTCCATGTAAAATGCTTGTGAACATTCTGGGTCCCCCTTCCCCCCAACCTCCACAAGCTCCTAGATGACCCTGAGTTGACAGAGCTGCAGAGCCTGGCCCAATCCCAGAGGCCTCACCTACTGTTCCTCCTTCCTCCTCAGAAGTCACCATGATCGTTTCCTGAGTCATCCTGGCCTGTGGGCTCTAGTTTGAGTGTCTGGTGTGCAGTTCTGTTCGTCTCTTCTGAAACACAGCTTCGAATTGTCTCTCTGGTGTCTGCCCTTAAGTAGCTTGTCCTCATCCTGACAGGTCCTGCAAATCCATACCAAGTCCCCGACAGTCACCTCACAACCAAGCCAGGCCTTTCTCGTTCTGCTAGAATGTGGGTCAAAGTGAGCAGAGGGTAGCCAAGGGACCAGGTCCACTCTCCTCTGTATTCTAGATTATGTGGTGCGAAAGTCACTGGCTCCTGTCTTACTACATAGGTTCAAGACCGCCCTCTCCCGATGCCACTGCCTACAGGATGGTCTCGGCACAGCAACAGATGCAAAACCGCAGACATGTAGATAAGTCGATACAGATATGGTGGACCAGGTCCTAGGTCTCCAGATGAAACCACACACCCTGGCTGTGTTGAGGGCAGAAACAAAACGCAGTAAATCCTATTAAAAAAAGGAAATGGTGACAAGCTGGGACAGACAGCAATTGGGCAGCTATGCCGCTGTTGGGACACTGTGTGGTCTTTGACGAGATCAGTTCCCCAAATCCCGAAGCGATCGCCTGGCACATTTACGTGTCTGTGAAACACTCCATCTTGGATCGATAGTCCTGTTGGCAGCCTTGTTTAGGAAGCGAGAAAACACAGAGCTAAGTCTCTAGTCTTTGATTCGAGGAGGTCTGAGATGGAATCACCTTCTACAGTGTCCAGAGGTGAGGCTGTGGTCTTGAGCTCTTGTGGCCTGCTCTACATGATATACCTTGTAAGCTCACATGAGGAGCTGGGTAGTGTGACCTCTGACCTCAAACAAGGTTCTCAGACGCTCTCCCTCAAAGGCAGAATCCCACTGGCCCTCTCCGAGGCCCATCACCGTCCCTGAGTCAGTAGAACCTAGCTTTATGACCCTTCCCTCCCCTCCCCCCAGGGATGCTATTGACATGTTTACCAAAAAAAAAATAGATAAATAAATTTCAGGTAATTTTCCTTTTAATTTATAATTGCTCCAAATTAAAAAGCCAGTTAGGCAATTTGATCTTTAAATTTGTTAACAGACATGGTTGAGAAGAAATCTGAAGAGTATATGAAAAAAGATCAGAATATATGAACAATCTTTGCCTGTGTCTACTACTCTGTCCCCCAGTGTGAACCCTCCCCAAGGGAGCAGCAGGCTTGATACTAGCCTTTCGATCACCATGATTTTTCTACAGATTGGGCACCCCAATAGTGCCTCCTCCTGGGGACACTGGACCTCAAGGCTTTAGGCAGGCAGAATGACCATAGCTGTGTCATAAGCATGACCTACAGAGCCCCAGAGTCCACATCTGTAATCCACTGGTGTATGACCAATTGTTTCTAACCATCAGCCAGCAGGCTTTGCAGGTGTGTGAGGTAGCTAGCTGAAAGGGGCAGGCTGGCAGCATGCCAGTGGGAAAATGGCTCACTCTACCCCACCCACACTAAATCAGGGGAAAGGCAAGAAGAAGTGTGTTGTTAAAACTCCAGCACTCTGGAAACAAACCAAAGGTATACAAATAAGAAGACATTTACCCCCACTCCCAACCGCCACCTGAGAAAATCCTCTGAATGGCAGGTGGGCGGGAAGAGTCTATGACATTGTGACCTGAAGCTGCCTGGTCTCCATTCTCCCTCGATGACACAGAGGGTGCTCTGTGGGATATGGGGCACACAGCCTGGGGGACCATAACTGAAGACAACAGGATTCTCTCAGGTGTCAATGACTGTGGTGGTCTGGGGGTGATACCCCCGTCCCTGAAACCAGTCACTGGAATAGCTTGTCCAAGTAAGAATATAACTAAGTATAAAAGTCAGTGGCCTATCACCCTCCACAGTCCCTCCTTGCTCCCGTTAAATGCAGTTTTCTGGTCACTGTCATCTGTTGTAGGAAGGCTAGAGGGCAGCTGAATTACTGGACACTGCGTGACACTGTGCTAGCTGGCTATGCATTAACCTCTCCCATCTTCTCTGACCTTGGGAGACTCTGTCGTTACCCAGGGCAACAGGCACACAGGGAAGGTGATGGTTAAGCTTTTGTTCATGTCTGATGGTAGTATAAGCAAGAGTCTAGACAGGATATGTGAGGTACCCATAGCGCCTTAGCGCCTCGTGGGTTTTTTTCTTTTTTTTAATTCTTTCTTTCTTTTTTTTCTTCCCCCCCCCCCCTGGGAACAGCATAACACAGACCCAGAATTGTCTCATCTGAAAACCTTTAACAAAAGGCCCTGGATGACTGATGGGAGCTGGGAGGAGGCAGAGGGAAAGGGCTGGAGTGGAAAAGTACCAGCTGGAACCAGAGAGGGGATAGCAACTCACGTTCCCCACAAATCAGGCATTCTATGCTGGGCTGGGGCTGGGGTCCTCAGAATGGCCCGGGACTCATCCACCTGGGTTACTAATGCAGGCACTTTGGCTGCAGGGCTGTGGGGTTAGAGGTCTTGAGTGCCAGCCTCTCGAGGATTACCAGGTCCTGCTGCTTACAAGGCTCGACAGACCAGTAGCCTCTCTGTAAGGCCGGATGCTGAAGACTCTGTGGGTTCTAAGGTCATGAGCCTGTCTGTAGCTGACTTCATGAGAACCATGATGATTGTAACACTTAAGAGGATAGGCTCTGGACACACATGGCTCTCACAACCCCCCCTTACCCCAAACAGGTCCCCTCAAGTAGAGAGAGCCTGGGGGAGGGGTCATTGCCCCTGCTGGTCCCACCTTGTCCCTTAATATTGAGGATCCAGGAGAGCTGCTAGGTGAGGGAGGAGCTGGGTGAGAGCCTGAGTCTCGGGAGTGCTCAGTTAGCATGAGAGACACCCAGCAGGTCCCTACCCAGGAGCAGGGCATAAATAATACCCAATAAGGCTATGACTTTCAAACATCACATGTGCGGGCAATGAACCCAGCTGCCGTATGTGGACCGGACAAACGGGGCATCTCCTCTTTGCCTGGTGGTTTGCAGCAGCTGGTCTTTCTCACTCAGTGGGAAACAGAGATTCCCAGGATCCACAGAGGTGTCCAGGGTCAAACGGACTGAGCAAGCGTGAGATGAGCTTTGAGAGGGTTTATCTGACCCCAAAGGTCACCCTCGTTCTTCTTGCTCTGATGCTGCTGGGATGAGAACTGAGTCCCTGCCTTGTCTGTCTTTGCTCAGGAACGTACAGAAGAGAAGGCTTATGTAGTTATCTTTCCTGCTCAAAGCTTGCCTGGGATTTGTTCCCTCAGTGTTCCCTGCTGGCTAAGGACTGGCTACTGTGGGGGATGTTCCAGCATCCTGTGGGTAGGTCTGGCTCCTTACTGCCTCCCTATTCCTCCCTTGCAGGTCAACATTGTTATCCTGGTTGCTGTGACAAGGGTCATCTCCCACATCAGCACCGACAGCTACAAGATACACGGGGACCCCAGTGCCTTCAAGTGAGTTGACTCCAACTGTTCATATACCATGAGGGGCTGCTGAAGGCTTCAAGAGGGACAGACAGTGTTGCTCCTCAGGGCTAGCACCTGAGTCTTCAGCTGGCTCTGTATCCTCAAAGGCCTACATGGACAGCCTTTGGTTTGGGTCCTTATTCCATTACTTATCTTGGTGATGCAAGGTCTCAGAGCAGCCATGGGGGCCATATATAGATGCCCTCCTGGGACATCTTCAGCCAGAGACAGCTGGAAGGAGGTGAGATGAAGATTCCAGAGAGGAAGATCTGACTCCTAGCTCCTACAGCAATGGTTCCCTCTGCCCTTCGCTTCCTTCACAGTGGAAAGGGAGTAACAGGACCCTCCCCCAAGGGATGCCTTGTGAGGGAAAATCCCAGCAAGCAGTATTCCATGCACGCTGGGCTGCCACTAAGGGAGGTGGGATCTTTGGAAGTACCCCGTACCCCACGGGACTGACATGCCACTCGAGGCTGCCTGGGTTCCTGGTGTTTATTCACTGGGACCTTGCCAACAGCAAACGTCAGAAAAACCTACACCAATTGGGTGTGGCAGAAGGAGACACAGCAACCATGAAGTCCTCATCTTGGTAGAGACCCCATTCATAGGGATACTGTCTCCTGGGCTCAGTTCCCATTTTGAGCTTCTCCTCCTCTGTATGGACTTCATGCCCAAATCCACACTGCCCTCCTAGAGGCAGAACAGCAATGGCCAGAGTATCTTCCTTCTTCTAGGGGGTAGGACTTGGGGCTGTGACAGTGGCCAGGCCTTATGCTTAAGCAAGTGGGATTCACTCATGAGACTCAAGGACCCAAGATTCATAGCCCTCCTTGACCATAGAGAACTGCAAGCACCCTGAACCTTAAGGATCAAGGCTGAGGACCCCCTCACAGGTGACTTAGGAGCTCTTATAGAGACAGCTAGGATGTCAGGCTGCTGGCATCCTGTGACTTTAAAACTGGAGCAAAAACTATGCATAAGCCACAACAAATCGATGAGATAATTATTCTACACACCGTAAATTAACTTGACAAATGGACTCAGCTCTCTTGGGCTTTTTCTGCCCCTGGAACCTTCTAGGCTATGCCGGGATGAAGGAGTAAGCTCCTGAGGGCCAAGGACATTTCTGTTCATCTTCTGTCTGAGGAGGGGTGGGGGAGCCTGAGTTTGTCCTCTGCCCACTGTAGCCTGACCAGGATGGTGCCTGTTCCTCCTCACTCTATCCTCAGACCTATGGCCTTCGGGGGAGTCAGGGTCACCAGTCTGTCACCTGCTCTCACACCCAGCCCAGGCCTTTGCTCCTATCATAGCCTGGTAGCTACACTACCAAGGTTGCTACTATGCCCAGAATACATACTACCACGCTCTTCCATCCACCGCCTCTCCTAGAGCCCAGCCGGGAGGTATCTCCATCACCTCGCTCCCTCTGCAGAAGAACCACCAAGTGCTGGCCCTGTTTGAGCTCATGGGGCTTCAAAGATAAACATACCCTGGGATAGCAGGTGTCCCTCAGGTGTCCCCAGATGAGCTAGTCTCATTCCCCACTGAGCCATTTCACTTCACGGTAGACTCAGTACCCTTAGGTCCTCCTGACCTGGTTTGCCTGCCCACTGCCTACATGAAGGTCACTGTCTCTGTTCCAGGTTGACAGCCAAGGCTGTGGCTGTGCTGCTACCCATCCTGGGGACCTCATGGGTATTTGGGGTGCTTGCCGTCAGTGACCGGGCCCTGGTCTTCCAATACATGTTTGCTATCCTCAACTCTTTACAGGTAAGAAAAGCCTGCAGGCCAGCAGGTATGGGACAAGGTAGGCATGGGACACTGTCAGCTCCCATCATCCCAGCTGGGTTTGAACACCAAGACTTGGTGCCCTCTGCTTGGAAGTTGGGGAGATGATTAGGCTCTTTGTCCTTCCCTGAATGGAGTCATCTGGAAATTCCCCTTCCCTGGTGCTGCTGACCTCAGGCTCTAGGTCACACCAAACCCACCTCCTCCCCCACAGTAAGCTGTGGCCCCCAGACTTCTGTGATGGAGGGACCTTGTGTCAATGTGCGGTTCTGATGCTGTCTCTCCCCTTCCTTCCCAGGGCCTCTTCATCTTTCTCTTTCACTGTCTCCTGAATTCAGAGGTATGTCCATCCCCTACCCCACTGACAGCTCCAAGTAAACCCCCACCCAACTCCAAGTAGCTTTTCACTTCCATAAGCGCACAGAGAGAAGGGCCACATTGTCTAGGGTAATATAACCCTTGTCAGGCTCTGTGTAGGAGCCACCAGCTCTGATGTTGACATTGGTACCAACTTTGATGCCCCTGCCCTTACATGGGGTGCTTGGGGGCTCCTGTCACAGCAAGCCTCCAGAGGCCATTGCCAACGACCCATCAGAGTTTGCTGCGTCAACTTCTGGAGTTCCCTCTAAGGCTTCTCCTTCTGCCTTTGAAGGTGAGAGCTGCCTTTAAACACAAGACCAAGGTCTGGTCCCTCACGAGCAGCTCTGCCCGTACTGCGAACACAAAGCCTTTCAGTTCAGACACCGTGAGTAAAATCAGACCCTTGAGTCTCTTTCCTTTGCTTCACTAAACCTCTTCCAAATGTCTCCCTCCTTCCCCTCACCATCTTCAGGGCGCTGGTTAGTGTGCCTGTTACCAGGACTAGCCATGCTGGCCATCAACCTGGCGACAAGCCTGCTTCGCAGGTGGACACAGCCTCTGCATAAATAGAGGATGCATGTTGTTGTCAGCCATGTTTAAATACAGTGTTCCACCCACAATTCCCTCTTCTCCAGATCCCTGGAAGGGCCTGCCTTCTGCACAGTCTACTAACACCTTGTTCTAGAACAGTGGTTCCCAACTTTCCTGACGCTGCAACCCTCATGCTGTGGTGACCCGCAACCATAAAATTATTTTCATTGCTACTTCATAACTGTAATTTTGCTACTGTTATGAATCATGATGCAAATATCTGATATGCAGGATATCTAATATACAAACCCCAAAGGGGTTGCGACCCACAGGTTGAGAACCACTGGTCTAGCATTTCCTTCCCAGATGGCACTAGGCCAAAGTGTCACTGACTTGTGGCCAAACTCCCACCTCAGTCATTCACCTAATGGCCATTGTCTGTCTCTTCATGGTGCATGGTAAGTTCCATGAAGAGAACTAGCCTCACTGATGAGGCACTAAGAATGTGGGCTTGGTGGGGCAGGTACCTTCACAGTGTGTTCTGGTCTGGACTCCTTGGATGTTCAGATCCTTGTGTCTCAGAAGTGACCCCCAACCATGATCCTCACACGACCCCAAACCCAAACCTGTTTGCATTCCTCAGAGTGAGTTCTACCTCTCAAACCTGTCTTCACACCTCTTTCTATAATTTGTAGGTTAACGGGACACGGACAGGCACGGCGTCTACAAAGCTAAGCCCTTGGGACAAGAGCAGTCATTCTGCCCAACGTGTCGACCTATCCGCTGTGTGAACAGGGCGGCTGCCATTCAAAAGAAGTGCCTTCCCCGAAGCAGAGAAAAAAAAAATGTGTACCCTGCCGCCATCGTGAGTCCCTCTCCTCCTTGATGCCTCGGCCTGGGATAACGGCCCCTACCTACGACTGTGCAGAATGTCCTGCCTGGCACTGCCGAGTGGACTCACGGGGTGTGGCCAGCGATTATGTGGCCCTCCTTCCCTGCTGTGGTAGACACTTCTGTCCTCTGTGGACACCAGAATGCAGAGTAGCCCATAGTGACCATCAAGTCTGGACCTCCCTTCTTACCATGTGCACAGAGCATCGGACCAGCAAGGCTGCGTCAAATGACATATAAAGATAGGGCTACAAGAGAACATAGCCCCAGCCTTGAAAGAGACTGAGAGTCCTGAGGGCAACTCAACGTCGTGTGGCTCTCCGGAGGGTTGACAGAGGTGGTAGCCAAGCCATGTGGGGGAATGAGGCCAGCACCAATTGGAATGTGCATCTTCACATAAGGGGACACTAATTGAGCCACCACCCATCCCAGCTGTCCAGCCAGTTCTGGGCTCTCTGCCTTTGCCTGTTTGGAGTCACCCACTGTCCCTTGTTTGGAACTTTGTGAAGACAGTCTAAAGGAGACACTCCATGGGAGCTGATGCAGTCTATTCTCTGCGAGCTGCTCCTCAGCGGACCTAAAGTCAGCCTTAGAATGTCCATTTCAAACAGCGTCTGTACTCTCTACAACCTCCACCTGGGCTAAGCTCCCCTGCTGGGTATCCCCCTGCACCTGCATCTCCTGGCTTTCTGGGAGTGTAGCTACCCCTAAGGTCTGCTTTCTCATTACTTAGACATGCCTTTTCCATGAAAGAGCGAGCAGGCACCTTCTTAAGACAGCTTAGACATTGGATATCCCTCATGTGACACACTAGACCAGCCACGCTGCAGAGGCTGATTTTCTTCCCAGGAGGGGGCCACACCGAGTCTCCACTGCTGCCCAGGGTGGCCACCCTAGGCTTTTGGGTTGGTATGAGTAGACAGAATCAGACTCAGCCCTGGGAAGTACAGTCACGGTGACAACAGCTTGTGAACAAGATCCTCATGGGAGTGGGGATCCCAGAGAATTGTGGAGCAGGATGTAAAGGGCCAACCAGTGTGACAGGAACCTAAGTGTCTGTGACATGCACAGTCTGGACAGCCAGTCTGGCCCTGATACTGGAAAACTCTCAGTTCCCATGACATCCCTGACATCCCTGAGGCCCTTCTTAACACCCATTCCTTACTTGGCTTTAGAATATGTTTCAGCTCAGTTCTATGGATCTTTTAAATTTTCTCTTTTCTTTGCTCTACTGGAATGAAGTAGAGTCAGGGCCTGGCATAGCCAGGCAAGCGCTCCACACTGAGCCACACCCCAGCCCCTGAGGGACAACCTCCTAACAGGCATCCAGAAGCTAGAAGGCTATAGGACCAGACTTTGTTCTGTCTAAGCCAGGACTTAACATCTATCAGCCAAATGGGCCCCTGTGACCTACCCTCCTGCAGCCCCTTTGGCCAATGTATGCTGAGGCCATGGTGAGACTCCATATCTGGTGACAAGTCCTGTCTATAGAATGTGTACGGTCTCTGCTCAGCATCTCATCCCTTCTCAAACCAAACACCGGTGACCCAGGGTCCGACCTGCCCTGCTGAACTCCTAGTAGTGAGAACACTGTATCCCTTCCATGCACGCTGGGCTCCCACTAAGGCAAGGCAGGCCAGGACTGTCCTTTATTCCCAGTGGGAGTCTCAGTTTCTGGCTTTTTGTAATACTTGCTCTTATGTAGCTGATACATCAAGGGAAGTCAAGAGCAAAACGTGTCCCGGCTTCCCATCTCCAGTGAGTGAAAGCGTGTGGTTTATTTATAGGTTCCCGACTCTGGCTTCAGCAGTCATTTGTTATCTGTGTATAATTTGGCCCCACATAAATTAGGAAGAATGGTGTGTGTGCGTCGCTTACAGCAGAGGGACGATGATGAGTCGCTGCTATAGTGAAGACATGTTGTGATTTTGATGAAATAAACTCTTAATGTCCTTTAACTAGAGTCTTGAGCTTCACGATCTGTGATTAGTGGTACCCGAACAGGATGGCATCTCCAAAGTTTCAGCGCTTACTGTGTATGCAGCATATTCCAGCCCAGGGGGCTGTATCCCAGGAGTCAGGGTGAGCATCCCAGAGCAAAACACAGGCTTTGGAAGGAAAGGGATAACCCAGGGGACTGTCTGGCTTGGGTCCTCCTAAGCTGATTAGCACACAAGGTATAGACAGTCCTCCTAAATGCATTTCCTCATTGGCTTCAACAGACTGCTTTATGCCGCTAAAATTAGCTGTTGGTGGTAGAGTGGGGTTTGGGCTAATATTCTTTGGCTGATGTGCAGTCTAGCAGATGTTTGATCCCACCAGCCTCGCTTTACTGTAGGTCCCGCCTGCTGAATCGTAGTCACTCTGGTCAATAGGTTGTAAGTTAAGTCATAGTAAGAGATTACTAGCAGTAGTAGTGATCGCTGTAACTCTGATCTCTCTCTTAATGAACTATGATTGGGTTTTCTTCCTGGGAGGCTGGGAGGTGACACACACCTGTGAGACCAGGTGAAGCAGGCTGGTGATCCGGGCATCATCAACATAGCATCAGCCTCTCAGATAAGCATTATTTGAACCAATCACTGTTGACCAAGGCTGCTGAGTGATTGGCAGGTGGAAGCATTTATAGCATGGATGTGGTAGACCAGCAAGCAGGGGATTTATACAGCGCGGACACAAGGCTAATGAGCAGGAAGCCTATACAAACAGCATGGAGGCCGTACACTAATGGGTCTGTCGCAGAAATGGTGGGGCCTATGTTAGAATGACAGACAAGAAGCATATAGGATGTGGATGCTTCAGACTATCAGGCAACAGGCGTATATGACACGGGCAGAGAGGAAATTCACACTCTACGTAGATAGGACATCATGGAGCGAGAGTTTAGGACATCCCTCAAAAGGGCATGCAGTTTTTTTTTTAATTGTTTTTTTTAAAGATTTATTTATTATATATGAATACACTGTAGCTGTCTTCAGACACACCAGAAGAGGGCATCAGATCTCATTACAGATGGTTGTGAGCCACCATGTGGTTGCTGGGATTTGAACTCAGGACCTCTGGAAGTGCAGTCAGTGCTCTTAACCACTGAGCCATCTCTCCAGCCCGGGGCATGGAGTTTTACAAAATCAATTATTTATCTGGGATTTGTTTATTTGCTTGTTTGTTACATAGTTTTAAACTGTGGTAGTCCACAAGCAGGGGAAACTGTAAGACAAGTCTGGCTAAGGTAAGATGCTACAATGTTGCTGTAGTTGAATGGTTTTCGGGTTTTTTTCTTTTTTGTTTGTTTGTTTGTTTTTCAAGACAGGGTTTCTCTGTATAGCCCTGGCTGTCCTGGAACTCACTCTGTAGACCAGGCTGGCCTCAAACTCAGAAATCTGCCTGCCTCTGCCTCCAAGTGCTGGGATTAAAGGTGTATGACACCATTGCCCGGCCATTTTTTTTTTTTTAAGCAAACAGTACTTTATCTCACCTTCCCTCATTTCTTCTTGGGTATCTCACTACTAGGATTCTGTTCCTCATGTTAATTAGGGTTTATATCTGATCTACTGGTTTTCCTCTTTCTGAAGCATCTCACCATTTCCTGCAAGGAAGGCATGCTGAACACAGGTTCCCCAGTCAGCTTGTCTGAGATAGTCTTTATTCTCCTTTTCTTCATAGGACAATTTTGCTAGAATCCTGAAATTCAACACTGGTGTGATTTCTTTGAAGTGCTCAAATATTACCATCCCCCATCTTTCTGAGCGGAGTTGAAAGGAACTCCCTAGTGACGCTATTCTTAATGCATTGTGGGTAAGCTAGGATCTCTCCTTCCCCCAGCCCTACGACTTAAGGAGAGTTTGCTTGGGGTTTTCACAATTTTACTGATATATCTTGTTTGACTTTCTGAGCATGAGTGCATTCACATGTGCATGTGCGTGTGTGTGTGTGTGTGTACACACTCACGCATGTGCAAAATGCTTCATTCAAGTTTCCTGCATCTGTGGTTGGTGTGTTGAGAAGTTCTCAGTCATTACCATTTATTTTGTTCATTTAAATTTAAAACGTTCTATTATTTAAAAATCTTTATGTATGTGAGTCTTTGGCTGGTATGTATGCACCATGTGTGTGTAGTACCTAAGGAGGTCAGAAGAGGGCACCAATCTCCTGGAACTAGAATTACAGATGGTTTGGAACAGCCATGTGGATGCTGGGGATCCAACCCCAGGCTTCTCTGCAAGAGCAGAAAGTGCTCTTAAGCACCGAGCCGGCTATCTAGCTCCTATTTTTATTTTTAAAATTACATCGAGAGAGACAGAGACACTTAACCAGCTGATGCTGGAGCTCACTGGGCTAACTGGAGCTCCCATTCCCCCCCACCACCACCCCTCCTTCCCGCCACCCCTCCAGCCCTGGACCAGACACATTAGCCTGCAGTGTCCCTGACTCCACTCGGCAAAGCCTAGCTGTCCAGAAGTTTGGGAGCCTCCGGTCCCAGCCTCATTGTGGGCCTGTGCCCCCCCCCCCACACACACACCTTGTTCCCAACTTCTGTGTGTAGTTCTTCAGCAGCAACTAGAGGTCTGGAAGTCAGGGAACCCCAACGCCTCTGACCATGCGTGTGTCCATGTTCACACACAAATGACAGTAATAAAAAGAAAATGACCTCAGTCATCTCATCCTTTCTAGGCACTGGCATGGCAGCTCCTCAGCTGTCCCTATGAGTTACAAAGGTGGCTGTCTCTACTTTCTAGGGACACTGTGTTGTCACACCAGAGTCCATGGGTGGTCCAGAGAAGTTTCTAGCTACAGTTGGTGGGTGAAGATGGCGGAGAGTAACCAGGTTCCTGACTAGGGCACAGCTGCTCTTGGATGTATCATGGAGCCCCCTTGGGGGTACCACTGAGAGAAGAGAACAGGGACCATGGTCGGTTACTGCAGGTGCCCCAGGATAACACTATGGCAGGAAAGACTACACCACAAATCTCAATCTCTGGCTTGGAGCTGAGGCGGGGTTCTTGGGATGCCGCCTGTGGCTCTTGCAAGCTGTAAGGATGCAGCTTCTCTCTCTCTCTCTCTCTCTCTC